ACCTCGCTCAGCCAGCGAGCGGCCGGTCTGTATGTGGGATCCGAACCCTCGGCGGGAGCGGCGCTGCACTCCCAAGTGGCGCACTGTAGCAGTGCGCCACCGGGCCGGCCCCTTCTTTGAATTTTCTTGGTATATCTTTGTCTATTTTTTACTTTAAACTTTCTGAGTTTGTTTGTTTTTGATATGTACTTGCATACAGCATATAATTGAATTTTCCTTTGCGATTCAACAAAGGGGTCTTTTTCTTTTAATAGGTAAGATAAACCTATTTATATATGTTGATATGACAGTTATTGTCTTAGTTCTGCCTTCTTGATTTTTGTATTATTGTCATTTTAAAATATATTACCATATTGTCTATATTTTCTTTTCTTTTCATTGAGTGTAGTTTTCTTGTAACATAAAAGGTTTATATGGTTTCTATTTCTACTGGCGATTGTAAGTGTAACTTAACATAATATTCTTAGTCCTGTCTTTTTTGAGTATTTTCTATTGGCTCCCTGATATAAACATGTTTACATGAACAGTCCACTTTTATTTTATTTTTTTGGCAGCTGGCCAGTATGGGGATCCCAACTTGTGACCTTGGTGTTATAAGGCTGGCTCTAACCAGCTGAGCTATGAGCTAACCGGTCAGCCTACAAAGGAATTTTTTTTTTTTTTAACAACCCACTTTCTTCATCTTCTTTTGTTTCACATCATTCTTTTCTTTAAAAAAGTTGCTTATAATGATTATTATTAGCTACTGGAATGGTTATTTATTTAAATAATATGCTTCCACTTGATGAATTATCTTAAATAGTGTACATTAAACCTCCATTCTGAAAGTTGAGAAATCTGCATATTTGTGCTATTCCCAAATTCTCTCATCCTTCCCTTCCCTTCTTTCATTAGTTTCACATGATAAATTTCATTTTTTTCATGGAATATTTTATTTCCCATGAGGTACCCAATTATTACCGCTGGGAGTTGATGTAATTCCAACCCTTCTAATTAACCTGTGCAGCTTCTCCAGATTTGCATCCTGTGGTTAGAGTGGTAGAGTCTGTGCCAGCAGTTGGCATGCTGTTAAATGTTAAAGGGCTTTCTCTGGGCACAGGGAGGAGGAACATGGTCAGATGAAGGAGTGGTTGTTTAAGTACTGCTCAGGGTTTTTTTTTAGCAAAACTCCGTATTAGAGTACTGAACAGGGAGTAGGGTCTGGGGTTCCAGTCCCATTTTTATGACTGTTAACTTTCTTTCCTCATCTATTAAAAGGTGACATTAGTAGTCATTCCGCTTCATTAACAGTCTTATTGTTAGGCTGTAATGACATAACTTGAAAGCACTTTGTAATATGTCTCATAGATATCAGATGTTAACAAGTTCTGATTTTTCTCCCAGATTAAAGCTTTTGTTAGCATGAAACTAAGTAGATTAATTTGATAGTTATCTATACTTCCAACTCAGTTGGCCCTTCTTGGGCATTAAGTCACTATTATAAGGTCATAGGTGAGCACCAGCAGGCAGAGAAAAGGGGAGGAGGCAAGGGAAAATTGATTGCTGAATAAAGACAAGCTGACTTTGGAGGAAGCCTGGACAGAGTTGAGCAAATTCCCTTATAAAACAAAATACAACGATTTAACATTAGTATCCAGTGCTGTAGGTGGTAATGCTGACACTGTTTATCGAGCCTCTGCTGTGCCACTTGACTTTCAGCACCCGAGAATAAGCAAGACTGATTGACCATGTTTTATAGATGAGCAAAGTGAGACTAAAGGGGGTTCAGGGACTCAGGCATCATCAGCTAGTGTGTCTCAGTGCTGGCTCTCAAAAT